GAGCTTCAAAATCATTAATGATATGTCTTTATTCTTTCCAACCTGAAGCACAACAAAGGAATGAAGGACTCAAGAGTTACTTGTTAGTTATAATTCAAAATATCAGACTTGATGAATAAAAAGAGATTTAGAAAGAACACAGCACTCAACTTCTTTCCATCTGTAATAGATCAAATAACAGATGGGATTGAGACTGGTGATCTAAGTATAAAGCTCAATCACTCATTTTCAGTATTGTTCATTAAAGTGTACTAAGAGTGGAGGCACTAGAATATAGTTCATCTCATAAAAGCTACACACTTGAATTGCAATAATAGCTTCTTTTATTACTCCAGATAAAACTGGCTGCATCTAGAATAAAGTTAGTATATTGCTCAGTTATGGAATCAACTGAATATTAATTATTGTTCATATTGCTTCAAAGCCATTTAGCATTCTTTTGATTAGAGGTTATCCTTTTCATGCTTAATCAGGATTTCCATATTTGAGACTAATACTTCCTTTTTACACCCTTTTTCCTCCCTTTATAAATTGATTACCTTTGAAGCTAGAATAACATACAAGGTGACAAGTGCTTTAAATTCAAATAAGCCACTACTTTGAAAAGGATTGCTAAGTATTTAATCTACCTATAGAAAAAGAATCTAGGGAAATATAGTCAAGCCCTATATTTATGTGGTAGACGGTTGTGAAAGGGTGTCTTAGTGCTATTTTATATTGTAAGGAATGTAATATAAGGAGAATTGCAGCTGAACGTGTAAAACTCTTCTACTCGATTCCATACTAGCTGGGTTAATTCTCCTGGACAGTCTCTTTAGATTTCCCAATGTATTTAAAAGAACAAAGTGGGACAATTTTCAGTAAATGCAAGACAGAATGCACTCACAATGCCTTTTCATGGCCTTTAACATGATTTGTCTGCTGTCATCATGTTTGTATCCTAGAACACCTTCAGTCAAAACTTTTCATTCCTGGGTTTTAGCTTTTCTTCTATTTTGTAATTATCTATTCCAAAGGGGATTTCATGTGATTACATTTCATATATGCACTGACCTCCTCAATATTCCACATACATCATGTCCCATTATTACTATTAATACTACCTATCATCACTTTTAGATCTAGGACCTACAAATTGCAGGCTATACATTTGATATTTGGCCTTTGAGACCTGGCTTATTCTCACTTAGCATGATGAGCTCCAGTTCTGCCCATTTTCTTGAAAAATGATAATTTAATTTTCTTTATGTCTAAGACAAGTATTCCACAGAATTTTACATATATGTGTAGTGTTTGTGTGTGTGTGATACTTATGTATTTCTTAATAATTTCACAGTTGAATGACAGTGGTTGTTTCCAGTTGGGCTATTGTGAAGAAAGCTTGCAATAAATGTGGATATGCAAGTATCTCTCTTACATAGTGAATTTACCCTCTTTCAAATACATGCCCAAATGTACGGCAGAGTTTTCAGGTAAGTCTATTTTAGTTTTTTTTTTTTTCTATTCATACTTATTTCCAGTGGCTGGCAGTAGTTTTATATTCCCACCAATACTGTTAGTGTTTCTTTTTCCCACATCCTTGCCAGTATTTGTCATTCTTTGTTTTTTTGCATGATTGCCTATCTGATTGAGGTGAAATGAAATCTTAGTGTAGTTTTCATTTGCATTTTCTTTATGTCTAAAGACGTTGAACTTTCTTCATGTTCTTATTAGCCATTTATAGAGAACTATTCAATTCACTTGCCAATTTATTAAATGGATATTTGGTTTTGGATATTCAGTTCTAATTTGTGTGTTCTGCATACTAATCCCTTATCTGTTTACTAGTTGATGAACATTTTTTTTCATTCTGTAAGTTGTCTCTTGATTCCTGCTAAACTGTCTTCTTTGGTGTGCAGAGACATTTTAATTTGATGCAGTCCTATTTGTCAATTCTTTCTCATATTTCTTGGGAACGGAATCCTTTTCACAAAAAATTTACTGATCCTGTATCTTTTGGAGTTTACTCTTTCTTTTCTAGTATTTGTTTCAATGTTTCAGGTCTTACATTAATATCTTTTATCCATTGGAATTTATTTTTGCACAGGATGAGAGATAGGCGGTGCAGTTTCAGTCTTCTGGCATAGTAGATAGCCAATTTTCCATGTACAAGTTATTGAGGAGGTTGTCTAATCTCTAGTGTAAGTCTTTTGCTCCTTTATCAAAGATAAGATAGCTGTAGTTGCAATAGTTTATTTCTGGGTCTTCTGTTCCACTGGGCTTTTTGTGTCTGATTTTGCATCAGCTATTTTTGTTAATAAGGTACTGTGGCATAATTTGAAGTCTAATATTGTAATAACTCCGCACTGCTCTCTTTGCTTATGATTGTTTTTGGCTATTCTGTGACTCTTATGTTCCATATAATTTTAGACTGATTTTTCTATTTTAGGAAAGATGACCTTGGAATTTTGATAACATTGCATTGATCTGTAGTTTACTCATATTGCAATTTTCACAATACATTCTTTCCATCTTCTGATGTCTTCTTGAATTTCTTTCCTCAAACTTGTATACTTTACATTGTAGAGATCTTTCACCTCATTGGTTAAATTTATAAATACTAGGCATTTATTTTTTGAGGCTACTTTGAATAGGATTGCTTTCCTGATTCCTTTAATTCCTCATTGTTGGTATACAGAAAAAGTTACTGATTTTTTGCATATTGGTTGTATATCCTGCTAAGTTTCCCAAAAAGTTTATCGGATCTAGGAATTTTTTTGGTACAATCTTTGAGATCATTTACATATAGAATCATATCATTTTGAAAATAAGGATCATTTTGCTTCTTCCTTCCTATTTGAATCCCTTTTATTTCTTTTTCTTGCCTTATTGCTCTGCTAAGAATTCCAATACAATATTAGTAAGAAGGGGAGAGTGGACACTCTTGACTTTAAAGGAAATATTTCAGTTTTTCCCCATATAGCATGATGTTGGTTGTGAGTTATGCTGAGTACATTCTTTCTATTCCTAGTTTCTCCAGCTTTTATCATGAAAGGATGTTGAAATTTTGTCAAAGGCTTTTTCTGCATGAACTGAGATGATCATGTGATGTTTTTGTCCTTAGATTCTGTTTATATCCTCTATTGCATTTATTGATTCACATATGTTGAACCATCCTTCTGTCCATGGAATGAAAAAACTTTATCAAGTGTGTTTTCTTTTAATATGTTGTTGAATTCAATATGTAAGTATTTTATTGAGAATATTTCATCTATGTTCATCAAAGAAATTGGTTTATAATTCTTTTTTTCATGTCATTTTCTCATTTTGGTGCACAGTTCAAATACTAGATTCATAGAATTAGTTTGGCAGTGTTCTTTCCTTTACTCTTTCATGTGAAAGGTTGAGGGATATTGGTGCTAGTTCTTCTTTACAGTCTGGTACGGAATTCCACAGTGAATCCATTGGGTCTGGACTTTTCTTTGTTGGGAGAATGTTCCTGGCTCATTCTCATTTCGTGTTATAGTTCTATTTAAGTGACTATATCCTCTTGGTTCAATTGCATGGTCAAATGCATATAAAAATTTATCTGTTTCTTGTAGATCTTCTGTGTGGTTTAATATAGGTTTTCAAAATAGTACCCTAATTCTATCTCTGTATTTCATTTTATTTATTGTAATATACTCTTTTTTGTTTCTTTTTTCTCAGTTTCTTTTATAATTTTATTTTTGTGTTGTTTTGTTTTGTTTTTTAAGACAGGATT